AGACAGCTGGTAGGTACAAGATGGCGTAAAAGGCCAGGAAGGGCTTCCAGAACAGTTCCTGATTTTTTTTTTTTTTTAATGTTTTCAGGTTCAGGTGCTGATAACACTGAATCTGAAAAATTTTAGACTCAAACTAATTTGCTAAGCTTTATCATATGGAAATTCAGGGTCTCAGGAAAACTCCTGAACAAGTGTTGGCCTGATCCGAAGTTCCTTTCTGCAGAGTATCTTAGCTTATCTTGCCTGGTACCTGATGCCACATGGAAATGGAGTAGCTCTTAATTAAGGTAAGAACATGTGTTAGGCCTCTTTACCTTCATGTTAAAATAACAATTCTGATTTCTAAAGCATATCCATCTGTTACTATGGAGAATTAGCAATCCACAACCCTGTGCAATTAACTTTTATCCAACTGCTGTAAAAATCCTGGCTAAGACGTAGTGATATTTAAAGAAAAGAGTCTACAGACATGCTATCCATTCTAGATATTTGGCGTTCTATCCCAAGATCTAATTAGGGCACCAGAAGCCTACCAGCTACAGCTTAAATACATCAGGAAATGTATAAGAACTATATGAACAGCTGTAAGCGTTATGGAAGGATATAAAAGAAAATTAGGGTAACTAGAAAGACAAATTGTACTCCTGAATGGGAAGACTTAATGTCAGCTTTCTCTAACTTAATTTATAAATTAAATAACAAAAGAGTAACACCAGGAGACTTACTTGACCAGCTATAAAGACATAGCTACAATAATTTTCTTAAAAATGTATGGGCATAGGCACGGGCAAATAAATCAGTGGGACAGAATAAAAGAGTCCAGAAACACATTTGAAAGAGAGAAATTGAATGTATATAAATGAGTATTTAATATATAGTAAAGGTGACATTTTGAGTTAGTGGAGAAAGAACTCAACAAATGGTTGGAAAAAATACCATTAAGGCCTCTGTCTTACTCCGCATAAAGAAATTTTTCTATAATGACGTTGACACCTCATAAAGAAAGAATTCTAAATGTATTACAGAGCTAATTAATGAAAAATTTATATACATATATTTTAAAACCCCACTTAACCGAGTATAACAGAAAGCCCCCGAACTGTTAAGAGCAAAAGACTTGGTCATGTAAATATACAAAACTTGAGTAAAAAGGACACATAAACTAAGTTAAAAAAAATGAGAGATCAAATTTATAAAATTATAGAGTCAGTATTCCTAATATATAAGGATGATGGCCAGATTTTTGGCAGTGACCTTGACCTGACCTCCTTTAGCCTCCACAAGGACTTGGGCCTTAGAGCAGCCTCTCCTGCTATACTGCATCGTTCCTATCAGTACACACATCTCGAGCCAGATGCCACCCTATTTTTTCATTCTTCATGAAAAACTTCTTGAAAGAGTGCTCTCTGTTTTGTTTTGTTTTTTCTTATTTCCTCACCACCTATTCACTTTAACTCACTTCAGTCTGGCTACTGCCCCAATTACTCCACTGACATCGTTTTTGCTAAGGTCAACAGTGATCTCTATATCACCATATTCAACGGGCACTTTTAAACTCTCGTATCATGTGACCTTTCAGAAGCATTTGACCCAGTTGGCTACTCCCTTCTTGAAACTCTTGACTTTCATGAAACATACTTTCTTCCTCCATTCTTCTTATATTTTAAATACTGAAGTTCTCCCAAGCTAGGTACTAGGTAGTAACCTTTTTTTTATTCACACTCTTTCCCTGATTACACAGTAAGTGTTCTTAGTAAAAAGCAATGAAAACTGCTCCTACCTGATATAAGCAAAAAGGGGTTTATTACAAGAATAGTAGGTAGTTAAGCTATAGACTGAGACATAGAGGTTTGGGAGTGAAAAATCACATCTAGAATCACTACCCAGAACTAATCAGATGACACCCCTGCTGACACTGATGCAAGGGCTGGATGCAGTAGCCTACATCACTGACATCACTGGCATGGAAACTACCACTGCCAGCCTCACTGCCTCCATAACCCTAGAAATTCAGGCCCCTGTCGCTGCTTCCAGAGAAGGGTTCTCATCATTCCTGATGTTCTGCATCACTACTGTCTAATTCAAAGTATGGAGCAGTTGCATCTCATTGGCACAGCGTAAGTCATGTGCTCATGCCTGTGCTTCGAGGAAGGCCAGGAAACAGTATAGTGAACTTTTGTTTCCACAGAAGGAAGTAGAAGTACCTCCTACGAGGTGGAGAGGTCCCCAAACATGTAAGGGGACTCAGATGCTGAATATTTAATAGTTTAAAATTTAAACTTTAGATGAATTATAAAAGTCCAAAATTATTCATTCTCATGACTTAAAGTACTATTTATATGTGGTTAGCCCTCAAATTTATAAATTAAGCCAAGACTTCTCCTTGGAGTTCTTATTCAACTGCCTATGACATCTCAGAAGCACACAAACATTTCACATATAATACACCCCAACCAAACTTTTCATATATACTCCCCTACTCCCCACGTATACTCCCATCCATCCAATCTCAAATAAGAAATTTAGGAGTAAAGGCCAGGTACAGTGGCTCACACCTGTAATCTCAGGACTCTGGGAGGCTGAGGCAGGGAAATCACCTGAGGTCAGGAGTTCAAGAACAGCCTGGCCAACATAGTGAAACCTGTCTCCGCTCAAAATACAAAAATTAGCCAGGCGTGGTGGTGCAGCTACTTGGGAGGCTGAGGCAGGAGGATCACTTGAACCCAGGAGGCAGAGATGGTGGTGAACTGAGATCATACCTCTGCACTCCAGCCTAGGTGACAGAATAAGACTCTGTCTCAAAAAAATAAGACTATATATATACATATATACACACACACACATATGCGCCGTTCTGACTCCTTGCTCATGCCCATATGCAAACATTCAGAAAGTTCTGGGGAAACCACTGCAAAACATATCTTGAGCCCATGTTTCAGGGGTTACTTGGCCAGATTTCCAATTTGGAACTCGAAGCCCTTAACACCCTTTGCCTGATGATATCCTCTCTCTGGAGAAACAAATGGTATTACTGCACCAAAGCACATCATATCAGGATTTTTCACCTTTCTCAAAAAATAATTTTCACATGTGGCAACAAGTGCGATACACTCATGAGTAATCTCTTCAAAGTTGTGTTTACCTGGTATTTAATATTGCTTTTACATAACAAAAGGACCTGCCCATTAAACCTGCTAAACTGCCAATCATGTTTGTCCCAAGAACACCTTGAAAAATACAATCACTCACTCACCCCCACTCTGAGATAATCAGTTGTCGGCAAAACCCTGTGTCCATGCCTGCTCTTCCTAAAAATAAAAAAAGGATGGGGCCTGGAACTACTGAGATATATTAAAAGAATATAACTCATAAAAAAAAAAGAGGGAGCTGGGCATGGTGTTGAGCACCTGTGGTTCCAGCTACTCTAGAACCTGAAGTGAGAGGATCACTTGAGCCCAGGACCTATGAGCATGCCACTGCACTCCAGCCTGGGCAAGGGTAAGACCCTGTCTTGAAAGAGAAAGGGAGGGGAGAAGGGAGGAGGGCGGCTATGGGGGCTGGACGGGCTCATTTCTGAAGGTCTCAACTCTCACCAAATTATGAATCAAGGTTTGTGACAAGGTAAGAGTAGTGGAATTCTGAGCTTGAGAAGAGTGGACACATTCCCCTCAAGAATGAGGGGAACTCAACCAGAGATGAATTAAATCTGACACCAGCAGAAAGATACATTAAGTTGAAAATTATAAATATCAAACTGGGCTAATCTTCAATGATTATATGATCTTACTCCCCAGCATCACCTGCCAAAAAGAATAGGAAATCAATTGTTTAGACTAAAATTAAAAAGTGGCTACGGTAGAAGGTCAAAGGAGAGAAGCAAATGAGAATACTCGTAAGAAAGTACAGCATAAAGTAAATTTCAGGCTGGGATAGAAGGGAAATGATGCAAGGAGAGATTAGGGAAGGGTTAAGAGCTTAGAAAAGTGCAACAGCTGGCCGGGCGCGGTGGCTCAAGCCTGTAATCCCAGCACTTTGGGAGGCCGAGACGGGCGGATCACGAGGTCGGGAGATCGAGACCATCCTGGTTAACATGGTGAAACCCCGTCTCTACTAAAAAATACAAAAAACTAGCCGGGCGAGGTGGTGGGCGCCTGTAGTCCCAGCTACTCGGGAGGCTGAGGCAGGAGAATGGTGTGAACCCGGGAGGCGGAGCTTGCAGTGAGCTGAGATCCGGCCACTGCACTCCAGCCTGGGTGACAGAGCGAGACTCCGTCTCAAAAAAAAAGAGAAGTGCAACAGCCTTAATTTTTAGTGGGAGAGTAGAAAGATAAGAAAATATAACTAAAAGGGAGAATTTTAGAGTTTGAGATATGAGGAGAGGTGACAAGAAATCTGGGTTATATCTCCGAGAGGGAAGAAAAACAGAGAACTAAGTCTAAGGTGAGAGTGTCCAATATTGTATATAGCTCCAAGAGAGTTAAAGCAGCAGCAGCTGAAATATAAATACATGCCAGGTATTAAAATCAATGAACAGACAGGGCATGGTGGCTCATGCCTGTAATCCCACAACTTTGGGAGGCCGAGGCCAGTGGATTACTTGAGGCCAGGAGTTCGAGACTAGCCTGGCCAACACAGTGAAACCCTGTCTCTACTAAAAATAGAAAAAATTAGCTGGGCGTGGTGTCACAAGCTTGTAGTCCCACTGCTTGGGAGGCTGAGGCATGAGAACCACTTGGACTCAGGAGGTAAAGGTTACAGTGGACCAAGATCGTGCCACTGCACTCCAGCCTGGGTGACAGAGTGAAACTCGGTCTCAAAATAAATAAATGAAATAAATAAAATAAAATCAATGAAGGAAGAAAGAGAAGAAAGAGGATCCTAGAGGTCAGAAGAAATACACAGATAGGGATAGGTGATAAATAATTTCAGATGGGGAGAAGTTACTGAAAGAGACTAGGTTTTTTATTTTTATTTTTTTTGAAGTTACTGAAAGAGACTAGTTTTTTTTTTGACATACAATGTGCAAGTATGAGACATTTTATTTTCTAATTGAAACTGTATTAAGACATTTACTTGGAATCACATTATTCCCTTAATTTTTTCACAGAGAATATTCCATTTACTGTGTAGTTTGTGGTCTTGTGGACATGTTCTAAGTAATATATTTGTTAGCATGGTAGTTTCAGTTGGGCAAAACTTACTGCCAATAAGACTTGAATTTAATTTGTCACGTATTTCCAATGGCAACCAATGATCAGGTGCTTCAATATTACAAATTTCAATTCTTCCATTCTTTATGTCTAGGAATACTTTAATTTCCAAGTGTGACTGTTCATACAACACATGAAAGGAAGTATTTATACTAAACTTTGGAGTTTTGCCGTATATCCACTCCCACGTTTGTAGTTCTTTGGCTTTGCTATTTATGCCAGGAAACAGTGTCTCGTCCGTTGGGTTTATTAGGTGAATGTGATGATCAATTTGATGATAAGCAGCATACTCTGTAGCGACAGCATTCATTAGTACTTCACAGGTCAGAGTGGGATCCTTTTCCAAAAGATTTTTCACTAAGGAAGGTATGCTGGCAGTGGCATTGCTCCTGATCCCTTGGTAAGGACTCTTTAGCAAAGAAGACAAGAACGTCCCGTCAGTACTACATAATAAAGTGCAATGGTGATAGGCAGTAGTCCGGCCGATCTTAGAAGCTGTTCCTGAGATTTTAAACTGTCCATCAAGTAAAAGGTCAAACCTTTTGGTAGCCTGCACATCTAGCTGGGGTTGGACAGCATTCAGAGCTCTCAAAATTAATTTCAGATTTTCCATTCTATCATACTTTTTTTTGGTTGTAAAGAAAGTCAAATTGATATTACCCATATCATGGTAGACTGTTCCTCCTCCGCTTCTTCTCCGAGCCAGTTTTATACCTTCTTCTCTCATTAGATTCAGGTTACATTCCTGCCAAGGATTTTGATGCCTACCAATTACAACAGAGGGAGAATTCCGCCAAAAGAATAGAATTGGTTTGCCTTCTAGATTCATGTGGTCATGGATCCAGTCTTCCACAGCCAGATTTTGATAGACATCATTGGAAACTGACTGTAAAATGAGCCCATTTTTTACTGTTTGTTTAAAGCCAGCTGCTGGGACCTGGTGGTTACAAAGTAACTGGAAGCAATTCTTCATTGAAAATGGAATCAACATGCTTTTAAAAATGGAAGACAAACAAATTAATTCATTAAAAAAAGGAACATTAAATTATATTTTCTAACTATCAATTATTGGGTATTTAATCCGAACTTATTTCTAAGTATCCAGTGCAGTTGCTTTTGGCTTTTAGCTTTACAATTAGTCTTTAGCAATGCTATAACTCAGTATTCAAAAGAAATAAATGAAGACAAATTTCAAATAATTTCAGTTGAAATAATTTCACAGTTTTCAAACAGTAAGTCTGCTGCAAATACATTATATAATGTATCTTTTTTTTTTTTTCCTCTTAGAGACAGGATTTCACCACATTGCCCAGGCTGGTCTCAAACCCCTGGGCTCAAGCGATCCTCCCGTCCTGGCCTCCCAAAGTGCTGGGATTACAGGCATGAGCCACTGCACTCGGCCACATTACCTAGAATATATCTTAAAGCCAAATTATGTTGAATTCACAAGTAACAAATGTTCATCAAGAAAAATGAGAAAATACAGATAAGCAAGAATAAGAAAATAAAAGCATTGATAGTCCTAATCACAATGAACATTTTGGTGTAAATCCATTTTATTTCTAAGCATGTGTATGCACACACATTTCCCTCCCCCAAAGTGTAACGATACTATTATTTCATTCAACGATCTATCCATCCATCCATCCATCCATCCATCCATCCATCCATCCATCCATGCATATTTTTTTGAGATGGAGTCTTGCCCTGTCACCCAGGCTAGAATGCCATGGCGTGATCTTGGCTCACCGCAACCTATGCCTCCCGGGTTCAAGTGATTCTCTTGCCTCAGCTGGGATCACAGGCGCCTGCCACCACGCCTAGCTAAATTTTGTATTTTTACTAGATACGGGGTTTCACCATGTTGGCCATGCTGGTCTCGAACTCCTGACCTCAGGTGATCTGCCCACCTCAGCCTCCCAAAGTGCTGGGATTACAGGCGTGAGTCACTGCACCCGCCCATTAAGCCTATTTTGCATCAGCTTTAATGACTGTTTAATATTCCATTGTTTAAGACAGGGTGTCACTCTGTAGTTGTCTCACTACAGCCTTGACCTCCTGGGCTCAGGCAATCTCCACACCTCAGCCTCTGAAGCAGCTGGGACTACAGGTATACGCCACCATGCCTGGCTAATTTTTAAATTTTTTGTAGCGATGGGGGTCTCCCTATGTTGCCCAGGTTGATCTTGAACTCCTGGGCTTGAGTGATCCTCCTACCTCAGCCTCCCAAAGTGCTGGGATTACAGGCATGGGCCACCACACCTGGAACCAAGTTCTTTAGTTAAGTAATATCTTAGAAGTACAATTCCTAGATTAAAGAGTCTTCCTATTTTCATCACTCTTGTTATAGTTTATAAACTAACCTACAAAAAGTTGAATCAGTTTACATTCTGTCTAGAAAGGTGTGGCGAGGTTTAATAGAGGAAGGAATACTTGAACTGAGTCACCAAATCGGATAGTTTGCCAGGTCGAGGAGTGTATTCCAGGCATATGCAAAGACAAAGAGTCATGTAATAGTGAGGTGTGTTTTGGGGATTCCCTCCTAGGAGAAAGAGCTACAGTACTAGTCTTCAAGTTCCACTGAAGCCTGTGGCTATTCTGTCCTAGGAAGCCTCGCAACCGAGATTGCATTACTTTGGTTAATCTCTTTGTTCTTGGTTCTGCTTGACTGACTTTGACACAGTACCATATTCATTCAACAAGTATGTATGGAGTATCTCCTAGGTACAAGGCAATAAGAAGATAGAAAATGGGAGGAGATAAATAATGTAATGAACTAAAATATTTGGACTTTTTTAAAGGCAGCTAAGATCCACTGAAGTTTTAAGCAGGAAGTGTTAACTCAGCCATTATACAAATCTGCCTCTGCAGGGTTGAGTATGGATTAAATAAAGGATGGACTAGGGACAGGGAGAACAGTTAACGGACTAAGTAAAGTTGTCCACACTAGAGATGAGGGCCTAAAGTATGGTAGGAGAGAGAGAGAGAGAGAGAGAGAGAGAGAGAGAGAGAGAGAGAGAGAGAAGGGGATGGATATGAGTGACATTAGGAAGGTGAACTGGCCGGGCACAGTGGTTCACGCCTATAATCCCAGCACTTTGGGAGGCCGAGGCGGGCGGATCATGAGGTCAGGAGATCGAGACTATCCTGGCTAACACAGTGAAACCCCGTCGCTACTAAAAATACAAAAAATTAGCCAGGCATGGTGGCGGGTACCTGTAGTCCCAGCTACTCGAGGCTGAGGCAGGAGAATGGCGTGAACCCGAGAGGCGGAGCTTGCAGTGAGCTGAGATCGAGGCACTGCATTCCAACCTGGGCGACAGAGCGAGACTATCTTAAAAAAAAAAAAAAAAGAAGGTGAACTGGTCCTTGCCTTCAAGAAACAAGTATCTCCACAATCTAGTGAGAGATACTAACAAGTAAGGCAATAATGAAAATATAGTGTCCTAAATGCTGTGATACGTGTTAAGTACATTAGAGGGCCCTCTAATGCTCTAATTAGTGGATGTGACATTGAAGCTGAGACATAAAAGGGGTAAAGAAAAGAATTCTAACTGTGCAATGGCTTAGTGGAAAAGGAGATAGGACCCATGCAAATAATTTAATTCTACTGGCTGGTTCTTAGGAATACAAGAATGGGGAGTTAATAAGAAGGCAAGAGAAGTAGACGTTAGATTATAAAGAACCTTAAATCCACGTGAAATGCTTGAACTTTATTGCCCAGGCTGGAGTGCAGTGGTGTGATCACGGCTCACTGCAGCCCCGCCCTCCTAGGCTTAAGCAATTCTCCCACCTCAGTCAGCATGTGCCACCAGGCCTGGCCTTTTTTTTTTTTTTTTTTTGGTAGAGATGAAATCTCACCTTGCTGTCCAGGCTGGTCTCAAACTCCTGGACTCAAGCAGTCCTCCTGCCTTGGCCTCCCAAAGCGCTGGGATTACAGGCATGAGGGCTTTGGATTTATACTTCAGAGACACTGCCTAGAGATTAAGCATGGAGAATGTACAATACTTGGTAATAGGCTGAATTAGGGTGAGAGAGAAAGAAGTCAAGGATGATGTCCTTTATGATATAATGATTACAAGCTCAAACCAGACTGCCCTCATTCAAATCCCAACTCTATCCTTTATCAGTTGAATGACCTAAGGCAGATTACTTTTCTATGCCTCAGATTTGTTATCTAATATGTGCATAATGACAGGACTCATCTCATATTATCAGGTTGAGTCTAATGAGCTAATACATATGAAGTGCCTGGCATTGAAGAAAGTACACAATATGTGTTAACTATTTTATTAATATTATGCCCTGATTTCTGGCCTGGCAAAGAGGTGAAATTTCCTAGGACAGATTTTATAGGAACAGGAAGTATGGGGTTAAGATAACTGGTTCATTTTGACTGTGTTGAACTAGCAGCCAACGGTACAGAGCTCAATGGATGGTAACTGAGGTCACAGGAAGGTGGTTCAGTGGGAAGATTTAAGGGCCTGTGACATAAGCCTGAAGAGCAGCGACATTTAAGGGATATACAGAAGAAGCAGGGAGAGCTCCCAAAGGAAGCTGAGAATAGAAGAAAAGGCAGAAAAATTTTAAATATGCTTTTATGGAAGCTTCAAGGAGACAAGATGGCTAACAGTGCCAAATGCCAAAGATTGAGCAAATAAGACGAGGGTTGAAAAGGATCTATTAAACAGTATCAAGAAGGTTATCAGTGATCTTGGTAAGAACCAGATGTACTGAGTAAACAGGAGGCCCAAGGTGGATACAATGAGGGTATTCTAGTTGTGAAGTGGAAAAGCTAGGGCAGCAGGTAGAAAGGAATGCGGAGTTAGGAGAAGATTTAAGATGCATAGATCTGAGCATGTTTAGACGCTGGTAGGAGTCAAGACAGGGCAACGTTGGAGAAGGGAGGTCCTTGAGAAAGTGATGATATTGGGATCCAGAGTTCAGGTAGGAGGCAGCCTTAACAGAGAAAGTAACAGATAGGAGTGGCGGGCACTAATAAGCTGGATGGTGTCTGTGGATATGGAGATTGTCAAAGATCTTGTGAAATATCTTTTCCTAAGATTAAGGCTCTTACTCTTCTCTGCACATGCAGAGTGTGGAAGGATAGCAAAGTAGTTAAGGACTTAAATTTTTTTTTTTTTTTTTTTTTTTGAGACGGAGTCTCGCTCTGTAGCCCAGGCTGGAGTGCAGTGACCGGATCTCAGCTCACTGCAAGCTCCGCCTCCCGGGTTCACGCCATTCTCCGGCCTCAGCCTCCCGAGTAGCTGGGACTACAGGCGCTGCCACCTCGCCCGGCTATTTTTTGTATTTCTTAGTAGAGACGGGGTTTCACCGTGTTAGCCAGGATGGTCTCGATCTCCTGACCTCGTGATCCGCCCATCTCGGCCTCCCAAAGTGCTGGGATTACAGGCTTGAGCCACCGCGCCCAGCCAGGACTTAAATTTTTAAACCTGGCTCTGCCACTTACTAATGACTCTAGCTGCTTCAGTGGCCTCAGACGTCATAAAATGGTTGAGAGAATTAAATGTGTTAATATGCATAAGCCATTCATGTTTGGCAAATACAAAACATTAACTGTTACAACAGGATTCCCCCTTTCCCACCTCTATTCTATGCTTACTGTTCCTATCATACAACATGTATTCCCTCAAGTGAACAAGGATTCCTAACCAAGACACGTCAAAGTGGCATTTACCTTGACAAATTATAGTTCAAGATATTGACTTTGGTCAAAAATGTGATCTTGTTAGGGTTCCAGAATTGATCCAATTCATGTATTGAGCCAATGAAGGTATTTTAATAGTGCTCAGAATCTCTCTAGTCATCCAGGTATTGTATATACAGTGTGAATGAAACAAAACAAAGGTCTTAATTCAACAAAGTTCTCATCAATCACATGACATTATTCTCAGCACTTGGGATTCATCAGTGAGTTAAATGAATAAAGGTGATAAGGAGGGCTATTAAAAAAAAGTAGATGGCCAGGTGAGGTGACTCACACCTGTAATCCCAGCACTCTGGGAGGCGGAGGTGGACAGATCACCTGAGGTCAGGAGTTTGAGACCAGCCTGGCCAACATGGTGAAACCCCGTCTCTCCCAAAAATACAAAAATTACCCGGGCGTGGTGGCGGGCGCCTGTAATACCAGCTACTGGGGAGGCTGAGGCAGGAGAATCGCTTGAACCCGGGAGGTGGAGGTTGCAGTGGGCCGAGATGGTGCCACTGCACTCCAGGCTGGGCAACAGAGCGAGATTCGGTCTATTAAAAAAAAAAAAAAAAGTAGAGCTGAGAAACGGAGGATTGGAAATGTGTATGTGAGAAAACGTACGTTGCAATTTTAAATAGGGTTGTCAGGCTAAGCCTCATTAAGAAGGCGTCATGTGACAAAAGATGCAAGAAGCTGTTCTAACCACCTGAACACATAAACCAATAAATAGACCTCAGTGAGGATGTGACATTTCAACTGAACCCCGAAAGATGAGAATCACGCAGAGTGAAAAAAGTTAAAACAAAGGGATGTCCAAAAATCCCTGACTGCCAGCTTATTGATTTACAAAGAGAACTATAGGCCACCAATCAGATATTCAGATGAGCCTGTCCAATTATTCACTATAAGACTACTGACAAGCCAACTCTTAAGTTTGCTTGGTGAATACATACTCAGAACAAAAGGACTGAGTTACATGATTTGAATGTCCGACGGAATGGGCTCTGAGAAAAACACTTCCTTAACTCAGGAGAGCCCCTGCTCTTAAGCCGGGATACCCTCTCTCCTCTAGAGGCGTGGATTCATCTGGCTCAGGTGCGCCCCTCTTTTTTTATTCTATGCTCCAGTAGCGGATCAGACCCCGACTGAGTAATGCACAGTACTTCAGGATATTTCACAGTCGTTGGGACAGTGTCAAGCCTTTGATGGTCTGGTTAAATTTTTTTCCTTAAAAATCACTTTGAATCTTTCTACTCTAACCCTTTAATGACTAATTTTATAAAGTTTTTCCTTATCTTCCATGTTCTTGGGACACTTCCCTACCTCTGCACTGCCAAACACGCCTCCCCATCACTGAACTGAAAGCGAAAACAGCACAATCCCATCTATCTTTCTAGGCAGGCGCAGCTTCTTCATAAGACCTTGCTAAGATCCTATTATTTTGCCCCCTCTCTGGTAATATACAACTTACTCAGAATCTCATTACGGTCGTGTGCATGTTTTACTTCGCCCTTTTGGCTCCCAGGGGGCGTGCACACAGCTAGCCTCCAACATGTTTTACGGTATTTACCCTCCCTCTTGTGTTCGGGGTCGACCCTTCCTAACAGTGAAATGAGGTCGTCCCAAGCGCCGAGGGGAAAGCGTGCACACAGAACCCTTCACTACCGGCGGGGGAAACCCGCAGGCCCTGGCCCACCGCCAGAGACCCCGCTCGCGCCCACGGACCACGGCCGCCCACGCGCCACGGCCCGCAACATCCCGGCTAGAAGCGCTTCCGCTTCACCCACCTGCGGCTTCCGGTCGTACACACGGCCTTGCGAGGGCGCGAGCTGGAAAAGTGCGCCGTACGACCCCGAGCAACCGGCAGGCCTTGCGCGCGACCCTGCCCCGCCCCCTGAGGGCCGGCCCCCTGGAGCGCCGGAGCAGGAGGGGCGCGCAGGGATCGCGCAGCGCCTCGCCGCCTGCGGGGTCGTGGGGTCCCCGCAGCCCGCGGGGGTGCTAAGTAAGGGTCCTTCAGGGCGGGAACCAGATTCGAGGCAGGGACGTAGGCCACGTTCGAAAAAAAGTACCGAAAGTCATAAGGCCCCAGTTCAGATGGGCGTTCCCCGCGTGACAGCACAGAGATAACGGCCACCCCTGGGCGAAGGTAGGAGAGCGGATGTGCTAGGTTGGAGGGGGCATTTCGGGGAGCTAGTTTAGGGGGAGCCCCCAGAAGCCCGGAGCAGTCAGGTCACACGACGGGCAGGAAGGAGGACCAGCAAATACTTTTTACTGAGCATGTAGGCGTTACGCTGGGTCTTTAAGTATCTCCTCCAAATAAGTGAGTCCAAGTGGCAGGTGACTCGAAAGGTGACGAAATTCAAGTCAGTTTTGAAAGACACATTGCATTTAAAGGAATAAATGGTATTCGCAGTACAGAGATGATAATACGGGATGGAGTGGATCAGAAAACACACTGAGGCGAGTGATCATTCCCATTTGCCAACTCATTGCAGTTGGCAAGAAAATCCTGTGGTTCCATGAGATGGGAGATTACCCCAGTAGTCAAGGTAGCAAGGTAATAGTTTCGGCTAAGTATTGCTGCGTAACAAACTGCCTCAAACAGTGGCTTCTATCTCTAACATGGGGGCAAGGTGGGTGACTCCTCTGCTAGTTTCTCCTGGGCATATTCATGTGGCTTCATTCAGCACCGGTTGGCTATGCTGGGCGGTCCAAGATAACCTTATTCATGCTCTGGCAGGTGCTGCCTGGCTGCTAGGGCACCTCAACTGAGGCCTAATCTTGGAAGCAGCGCCTCAGCCATATTCTGTTGGCCAAAAACAACAAAGCCAGCCCAGAGTTAAGGCGTGGCGTAGTGGACTTCACCTCTTGATGAGAGAAGCCCAAAGAATTGGTGGTCACCTTTTTCAGTCTTGCTCAGAAATCAGTCTCTCCTTCAGTGAAAATAGAAACCACGAAGACTTGCCTCTTGGAGTAAGAATCATTCAATGTTCAGTTTGGTGATGTTGATACGGTAAATGACCAGGGCTTCATGTAAAGCTACAATGAAGACAATGACACCTCATTTCTTTATTATTACACCTTTTACCAAAGTCACTCTGAGTTAGTCTTATCTTGTATTGTGCAGGTGGGAATGAATTTTGTTTAGAGTTAACTGCACTAGGAATTTTCCTAGTTATATTAAAAACAGTCACAGAATATTGCTGCTCTTTGCTTATATTACTTCCTTCTAAATTCCCTGTCTCTGAAATATCAGGTGGTACAGTTTTGCGTTTTTTTCCCCTAGTTTCTTGCTGAAGAGGTTTTAAAGAATCCGATTCCCTCCTCCTTGCCCCAGGACTTCTGTCCCTTGGTTATTCTTAACTTTACCTACTTCTTTGGCTTCTCCACTGGAACCTTTCCAGTGACACTCAAACATGCTGTACTCTTTAACAATCCTCCAGTGACCTCACTTCTCTTTCCACTTTTCATCCTGCCTGCTACCCTTCTGAGCCAACCTTCTTGGAAAAACCGCTGTACATCCAGTGTCTACTTTCTCACTTCCCATTCATTGTTTCAACGTACTCCAAAATGGCTTTCCCCCCAGTTATTCCAGCAAAAGTGCTTTTGCTAAGGTCACTGGTGACATTCATATTGCTAGATCCAGTGGACTTTTCAGTCTTCATCTAACTGTTCATTTGACTACCTCAACCTGGAGATTCCTGTGGACAACTGTGACATTACCCTGTCAACTCCTCAGTCCCCTTTGCCAGGTTTTCCTCTAGCCTCACTGCCAACTCCTCAGTCCCCTTGGCCAGCTACCCTGCTCTAGTCAACCCCTAAATGTTGGAGTTCCTCAGATCTTTATCTCACACTACATTCTCCTTAAGCAATTTCATTCATTCTATGGCTTTAAGTACCATTTCTGTATACAACTTCAAAATTTATACTTTTTAGTTCCATATATACAACTGCCTTGTAAACCTGGTAAGTCTAAAAACTCTGCTCCTGAACTCACTCTTTTTTTCCCCCAGGGATCCTGCATGCATCTAGCCTTTTTTGCTAGAAGCCCTTTCTTCTTCCTCACTTTCCACTTCCAAACCATGTCCATGTCAAACTTCACCTGTACTCTATCCCCCTCTCTCCACTTTTATGACCATCACCTTCATTCACTTAGACAACCATGTCACTGCACAAGCTATAAATGTCCTCAGAGGCTGCTCTACGGATTAGCGATTCTGTTGTTTCTTTACTTTCTTAATAAACTTGCTTTCAAAAATATCCTGAGATATTCTTTCCCATTTCCCACAGTTAAAAATAAAGTTTATGGCCCAGTGGGAGGATCACCTGAGGCCAGGAGTTTGAGACTAGTCTGGGTAACATTGTGAGACTCTGTCTCTAAAAAAATACAAAAACATGCTGGGTATGGTGGCACATGCCTGTAATCCTAGCTACTAGGAGGCTGAGGCAGGAAGATCGCTTAAGAACAGGAATTTGACACTGCAGTGAGCTATGATCGCTCCACTGCACTCCCTAACTTCCTGGGCAACAGAGACCATCTTAAAAAAAAAAATCAGCTTTATGTGGTATGTCTTGTGTTGTGTTATGTCTCTCTGAATGCTATACGTTTCTTCATGGCGTATCACAATTGGCATCTTATATAATTACTGTATAATGTCCTGTCTCTCCTAGTAGACAGGCACAAAACTCTACAAGGCAGTGGCTATTTTATTCACTACTGTATCTCCAGCACCAAGCACAGTGCCAGGCTAGGTGAACAATGAATGATTTGTGTATTTTTTTCTCTCCTAAAGAATTATGTTCTATAAATAATAAAAAGCATTGTCTTTTTAGCTTATGTCCCATTCAACAATTGTTTTTCACTCTCAATATTCCCTACAAACACATTTGTTTAGTATTTTTCTGATTAATAAAATATAGCTCCCCCTCCGAAAAGATGCCCTTTCCTCTTTTAAAATGAATATTAAAGAGATTTCCAACTACCAGATATTTTCATAACTGATACACAAAACAAGGTTTTTTAACACCAGGTTGTTTTTCTCATATTAAATATTGGTGACATAAAATGGTATCATCTGCAAGACAAACTATTAACACTTGGAAAGAATACTTTTCTAACTCTAAAATGGATTCTATGTGGGGGGAAAAAGCAGTTTTAAAGGCACAATTTAAAATGTGAAATCCTTCTGAAGATATGCAATTTATTGGCCTTTTCAGTTTATCTGCAGTGATCTTTTATAGAACAAAAATGCAAAATGTAAGAAAGTAAAGTATCCTAAAGCAGAATCCCAAAATGGAAATGTAACATGCAAAACCGGTACACCAGAAATACTATGAAATACTGATGTCACATTGCTTGGACCTTTTTTTTGTTTGTTTTTTTGAGACGGAGTGTCGCTCTTGTTGCCCAGGCTAGAGTGTGATGGCATGATCTCAGCTCACTGCAACCTCCGCCGCCGGGGTTCAAGCAATTCTCCTGTCTCAGCCTCCAAGGTGGCTGGGATTACACGCGCCCACCACCACACCTGGCTAATTTTTTGCATTTTTAGTAGAAATGGGGTTTCACCATATTGGCCAGGCTGGTTGTGAACTCCTGACCTCAGGTGATCGCCCCGCCTCGGCCCCCCAAAGTGCTGGGATTACAGGCATGAGCTACCATGCCCGGCCACTTAGACACTTTTTTAAATCACTTGTTAAAGAAATACATTAAAATGAAAATGTTTTGGTGCCATTCAAATATTGTTACTTAAAAGCTCTGGTTTTTAAGAAGGATATAATATAATACCAGAGAAATCTGCTTTGAATTTTGGAAGGCTTTTTCACTCTAAATCAACTGCCTTTTGAATAGGCATAATCAAAAAATGCAGTGCAAGATGATTCACAAATAGTGTAAAATAAAGCAATAGTCTTCCGTCATTTTGTTAGGATTTCCTAATAAGGTTAAGTTCTCTTTCAACATCCCCTCTTAATCAAAGGCAGTTTTTGGTTTGTTTGGTAATACATACAAATTGCTTCATTCCACATCTGTCATTTCTAGTCCATCACTTTCTTTGATGTATACCACTGAACCCAAGGCTTTCTCAGAAAGAGATCTTGTGCCAGTCCCTTCAATCCTTGAAAAGTTTTCTTGATTTGTGTCTTCTAATCTTATTTTCTTGGTGTTTTGAAATAACTGAGTCGTTGGTTCCAACCTGCTTTTTTCAGTCCCTCGTATTAAGTGATCATCCACTTTTGAATCCATATGCATAGCAGATACCTGAGTAGCAGATTTACTAAGTGAAAATCCCATTGGGATAGCCGAACAAATATGAAAGTAATTTTTAAGTAGTGGAAGTGTTTCTTCAACTTGATTACTGAGGGAAAAAAAAAAAAAAAAAAGTAAGTGAATACAGCAGGAATTTCCCTAACTTCATGGCAATGTTTGTTTGAATGATGATGATACATGGTGATACTAGAAATATAAAGTAAAATTGCCTCCTACCTTTCAGTGTTCACATTTTCTTTGTAGGAGGGTTTGCAGGTTCTAAAGATTTCTTTGAAAGTCTTTTTAAAGGAATTTATCTGATTTTATGTTTTATCACCTTTCAGAAAATAGTAGAGATTCTCTTAATCCTTTCATTCTTGCTAGGAAACCTCTTACTAATGGGCTAAAGAAATAACTACTGAAGGCTAAATACTCTGCTAGTATTTTATTTTCTGCAAAAAATATATTCTATAAAGATACTTGTGATTGGCTGGGCGCCGTGGCCCACGCCTGTAATCCCAGCACTTTGGGAGGCCGAGGCGGCTGGATCACACCGGAGGTCAAGAGTTAAAGACCAGCCTGGCCAACATGGTAAAACCCCGTCTCTACTAAAAATACAAAAATTAGCTGGGTGTGGTGGTGTGCACCTGTAATCCCAGCTACTCAGGAGGCTGAGGTGAGAGAATCACTTGAACCCGGAAGACGAAGGTTGCAGTGATCCGAGATCGCGCCACTGCACTCCAGCCTGGGCAACAAGAGCGAGACTCTGTCTCAAAAAAAAAAAAAAAAAAAAAAAAAGATACTTGTGATTAAGGATGCCCAGTCTGTTAAGAGAGATGATCGGCCAGGCGCGGTGGCTCATGCCTGTAATCCCAGCACTTTGGGAGGCTGAGGTGGGCGGATCACGAGGTCAGGAGATCGAGACCATCCTGGCTAACACGGTGAAACCCCGTCTCTACTAAAAATACAAAAAACTAGCCGGGCGAGGTGGCGGCGCCTGTAGTCCCAGCTACTCGGGAGGCTGAGGCAGGAGAATGGCGGGAACCCGGGAGGCGGAGCTTGCAGTGAGCTGAGATCCGCCAATGCACTCCAGCCCTGGCGACAGAGCGAGACTCCGTCTCAAAAAAACAAACAAACAAGAGAGATGATCATGTAGCATGGAGGGAGGCGTTGGGAAGTTTCCCAAAGGAGGGGAGCCTAGGTCAGGGTTGCGCTTTCAAAGATGGGCGGGAACTTGGTAGGCAGAGTTGGCCAGGATGGCAGAAGGGCAGGCTACCTGCACAGTAGAGGTCTGAGAAAGCCCAGGGCTTACTGGAGAAGAGTCATCTACCCAAGATGCTCTAGTGGCAACCGAGATCTGGAGCAGATTCCACAGCTTGGAACGAAAGCACTCACCCCCCGACTTTTTTTTTTTTTTTGAGATGGAGTTTCGCCCTTTCACCCAGGCTGGAGTGAAGTGGTGTGATCTCAGCTCACTGGACCTCCATCCCCCAGGGTTAAAGTGATTCTCCTGCCTCAACCTCCTGAGTAGCTGGGATTACAGGCACCCGCCACCATGCCCAGCTAATGTTTGTATTTTTAGTAGAGATAGGGTTTTGCCATGTTGGCCAGGCTGGTCTCGAACTCCTGACCTCAGGTGATCCAGCCACCTCAGCTCCCAAAGTGCTAAGATTACAGGCATGAGCCACTGTGCCCGGCCTCACCCACTTTTAGAATGTATTATGTCTTTAATATTTAGCTACTGTATCTTTGATAGTTTACAATTTCATACTCATGGAACTCTAATTACCGACTGAACATTTCTAAAGAATCATCTTGAAACCCTATTTGTCCACATTTGTGATTGAATATCAGTGTTTATAACAAAACAGAGTCCTGGGTCTACTGTAGTAGCCTAAATATAGTAGCTACTCACGTATTAATATAACAATTAGGTAAATAGTATATATTTGGCTTTCTAGGAATCAAATACAACTTAGCTAAATTTTTAAAGATCTCTGATGAAATTCTGAAATATGGTTTATACTTGTTTTTCAGATTTGGAACTTGAAGATGAATTTTTCTTCCTCATCAAAGGAATATCTAATACTGCCTTCAAATTAATAAAATTGAGTTTATTCTATTCTTTGGTTTCTCTTTTTGTTAGAAAGGAAAAACTCCTGTCAAATGCATAACTTGAATCTAAACCTGAGGAAACAATCAGATAAACCCAAACAGAGGTATCCTCTATGAAACAAATAGCTTCTACCTAAAAATGTCAATGTTATGAAAGACACAGAGAGGCTGAGCAGCTGTTTCAGATTAAAGGAGGCTAAAGATACATTATTTCAAATGCAACCAATGCTCTTGAGTTGGGAAGGGGATGGAATGTACTACAAAGAGCATTACTTAGATAACTGCAACATTTAGATATTTCACAATATTAGATAATAATATTAGATCAATGTGATAGATGCCATGAATGTGATAATTGTGATAATTATATATAATAATATTATATATTATATGTTATTGTGATAATTATATAAGTCAATGTCCTTGTTCTTAGGCAATACATACTGAAATAGTTGGGGGTGAAGAATCATATCTGCAAGTTCCCCTCAAATTGTTTAGCAATAGAGAGATAGATACATAGATACAGAAAGAGAGTAAAATATGCAAAATGCTAACAACTGTTAAATCTAGGAGGTAAAGCTTAAAAAGTTGTTCTACTTATTACATTTCTGTAGGTTTAAAACTTTTTCAAAATACAAAATTGAAAAAAGATTTTTAAAAAACACAAAACTCTATAAAACATTGCATTTGAAATCAACAAACATAAAATAATGATAACTTATGTAATTATCAATTTGTACATTAAATTTCAATCTAATAAAAGGACTGAGGAGGAACCAAATACAATAGGGTAGACTTGGCCCTGTGAGTCTCACCTTAACTTCCCCAGAGTTGAGGACATGAAGGGTGAACAAGTCTACTGGGGGCCTCTTTGGACTGGCATTTAGGTTGCCATTCAAGAAGAAATCTGGAATATACATGTAAGAATAAAGATCCATAAAGAGATAAATCAATCTGGACAAAAAGAACAAAGGGCTTTCTTTACCAGATATTAAGATATGTTACATGGCTGGGCACAATGGCTCACGCCTGTAATTGCAGCAGTTTGGGAGGCCAAGGTGGAAGGATCTCTTGAGTCTACCAGTTTGAGGGCAGCCTGGGCAACATAGGGAGACCTCATCCCTATCAGAAAAAACTTGAAAAAAAATAAAAGATATGCCACAAAGTAAAAGTAATAACAATAACCTTGTACAGGTACAGGAACAAATAGTAGAATACGACAGAGCTGTAACTCAGACTTAGGTATTTGAGGAACTTCACATATGTTACAGGTGGCACTATAAGGCAAAAGAGACTGTTTAGTATGATAGTATTGTGAACATTGGCTCACTATGTGGACAAAAGTTAAGCAGGATCTTAAATACAGAAGTGGGCTGGGCGCGATGGCTCACGCCTGTAATCCCAGGCCTTTGGGAGGTTGAGGCGGGTGGATCACAAGGTTAGGAGTTCGAGACCAGCCTGACCAACATGGCGAAACCCCGTCTCTACTAAAAATACAAAAATTAGCTGGGTGTGGTGGCGGGTACCTGTAATCCCAGCTACTCAGGAGGCTGAGGCAGGAGACTCGCTTGAACCCAGGAGGTGGAGGTTGCAGTGAGCCGAGATCATACCATTGCACTCCAGCCTGGGTGACAGAGCAAGACTCCATCTCAAAAAGAAAAGAAAAAAAGAAAGAAAAAAAAAAAGTGGAGTGCAAATGCATTAAAGACCTAAATGTGAATGGCAGAACTGTAAATGCAATAGAAGACAATGAAGGACACTATATCTGTTACCTTGGGGTGAAGAAAGATTTCTTGAACAAGACCTAAAAAGCTTGAACAATAAGGGAGGAAAACAGGTGAATTTGATTACTCATAATTGGGAATTTGTATTCAATGAAAAAAATATAAACAAAAAGATAAGAGACAGGAAGGAGATATTTTCTGTGTCCAAAGCTGATGGTATTTAGTGGCTGGAATACAAAGAGAACACCTACACATTAGCAAGGAAAAAGTAATCCCGCTAGAAAAATGGGCAAAGGATATAAAAACATAATTCAAAGACTAAGGAATCCCAAACAGATAATGAAAGTACATAAAGAGATATTCAGACTTAACTAGGAATCAGAGAAATTCAAGTTGCAAAGACAGTGCAACCTCCGCTCTCTGGGTTCCCATGATTCTCCTGCCTCAGCCTCCCGAGTAGCTGGGATTACAGGCACCCGCCACCATGCCCGGCTAATTTTTGTATTTTTAGTAAAGATGGTGTTTCACCATGTTGGCCAGGCTGGTCTTGAACTCCCGACCTCAAGTGATCTGCCCTCCTTGGCCTCCCAAAGTGCTGGGATTACAGCATGAGCCACCGTGCCCGACCACATCTGGCTAATTTTTAAAACTCATTTTTTGTAGAGACAGGTGTCACTGTGTTGCCTAAGCTGGTCTCAAACTCCTGTCCTCAAGCAATTCTCCCACCTCCCAAAGTGCTGGGATTACTGGCGTGAGCCACCATGCCTGGACTGGTTTGAACCTTTTAGAACAAACTCCAGATCACAGCAGTCCTCTGCTCAACACACTCTAGTTGCTTCCCACCTCAGAGACAAAACCAAATTATCTACATATCTAGTCCCCAGCTGTGGTAGGCAGAATAATAGTCTCCAAAGATGTCTTTGTCCTAATCCCCAGAAGCTGTGACTATGTTATGTTATGTGGCAAGGGGGACTTAAGGTTGCTAATCAGCTGACTCTGAGGGTGGGAAAATTCTCCTGGATTAATTGGGTGGTACCAATGTAATCACTAGGAATTTTTGTTTGTTTGTTTGTTTTTCCTTTTTGGGACAGAGTCTTACTCTGTTGCCCAGGCTGGAGTGCAGTGGCATGACCTAAGGTGACTGCAGCCTCCGCCTCCTGGGTTCAAGTGATTCTTGTGCCTCAGCTCCCAAGTAGCTGGGATTACAGGTGCACACCACCACGACCAGTTAATTTTTGTATTTTTTGGGAGAGACAGTTTTGCCATGTTGACCAGGCTGGTCTTGAACTCCTGACCTCAAGTTATCTGCCTGCCTCAGCCTCCCAAAATGCTGGGATTGTAGGTGTGAGCCACCGTGCCTGCCACACAAGAGTCTTTAGAAGTGAAAGAGGGAGGTAGAATGTGTTAGCCATGATGCAATGTGTTAGCCATGATGCAATGTGTTAGCCATGATGCAATGTGAGGAGGACTTGACTGGCCATTTTTGGTGTTGAACATAGACTGGGATCACAAGGGCTGCCAGTAGAAGCTGGAAAGGCAAGGGGGATTTTCCCCTAGAGCCTCCAAAAGGAATGTAGACCTGCCTGACATGTTGATTTTAGCCCAGTGAGACCCATTTTGAACTTGTAAATCTCCAGAACCGTGTGATAATAAATTTGTGTTGCTTAAAGACACCAAGCGTGTGGTAAATTGTTGTAGCAGCCGTAGCAAACAACTCTACCAGCAAGCACTCTCTCCTGTCTCTTTCCCTTATTCTACCCCAGACCTATCACCCCATTGCTGTTCCTCAAGAATATTCTATGCCAAACCCTCTCCTGCTTCAGGACCTTTGCACTTACAGTTCCCCCAGCTTGAAGCAATTTCTGCATTGCAAACCACTTCCCTTGACGATAGTTAGTAACATGGGGCCTGGGATTGTGAAGAATGGCAGACTTCTGCTGCTAGTCATGATGGAGTAACAGAGACCAGACTTATCCTCATGCTTTCAGCATCTATTTTTTTTTTTGAGACGGAGTTTTGTTCTTGTCCCCCAGGCTGGAGTGCAATGGCACGATCTCGGCTCACTGCAACCTCTGCCTCCTGGGTTCAAGCAAGTCTCCTGCCTCAGCCTCCTGAGTAGCTGGGATTACAGGCGTGCGCCACCATGCCTGGCTAATTTTGTATTTTTAGTAGAGACAGAGTTTCTCCATGTTGATCAGGTTGGTGTCGAACTCCCGACTTCAGGTGATCTGCCCACCTTGGCCTCCCAAAGTGCTGGGATTACAGGCATGAGCCACCGTGCCCAGCCTGCTTTCAGCATCAAAACACAAAACACATGAAGCCATGGCTTTTAGATATTGGACAATAGGCAGTTTGGGAGAGTGATCCTTGAGAGAAAGGAAATAAAGTAAGCCCTATGAATGGACATTGCCTAGAACTTTCAGACCTCAGCATAAGGAGGAAACTATCTGATTTAAAAAAAAGGAACACAGCATCAGTGAGCTGTGGAACAAGATCAAGTGGCTTAACACGTATGGAATTGTTGTCCCAGGTTTTTTTTTGAGGGGATAAGGAAGAGAACAGTGAAAAAAAAAAAAAAGTAATAACAGAGGTTTTTGTAGTGAAGTTTTTGAAATGATGGAAAAACTAAGGGACTAGAAAACCCAGACCTTAGAAGGTGTCTGTCACAAGAGAGAGAGAGAGCACAGGGTACTATATAAGGCTTAGCCTGGGCCAGGCACAGTGGCTCATGCATATAATCCTAGCACTTGGGAGGCTGAGGTGAGCAGATCACTTGAGTCCAGGAGTTCAAGACCAGCCTGGGCAACATGGTAAAACCCCATCTCTACAAAAACATACAAAAATTAGCTGGGCATGGTGGCACATACCTGTGGTCCCAGCTACTCAAGAGGCTAAGACAGGAGAACTGCTTCAACCTGAAAGGTGGAGGGTGCAGTGAGCTGAGATCATGTCAACATACTCCAGTCTGGGTACTGGGCAACAGAAGGAGACTGTCTTTAAAAAAAAAAAAAAAAAAAAAAAAAGGCCGGGCGCAGTGGCTGACGCCTGTAATCCCAGCACTTTGGGAGGCTGAGGCGGGTGGATCACGAAGTCAGGAGATTGAGACTATCCTGGCTAACACTGTGAAACCCCGTCTCTACTAAAAATAATAATAAAAAAAAATTAGCCGGGTGTGGTGGTGGGCGCCTGTAGTCGCAGCTACTTGGGAGGCTGAGGCAGGAGAACGGCGTGAACCTGGGAGGCAGAGGTTGCAGTGAGCCAAGATCATGCCACTGCACTCCAGCCTGGGCAACAGAGAGAGACTCCGTCTCAAAAAAAAAAAAAAAAAAAAAAAAAAAAGGTTTAGTTGGGGCAGGATGGGACACTCACTACCCCTTGGGTTTCCAAAGAGGGAAGGAAATTTTTACTTTCTCAGGTTAGGGGAGAAAGTCAGCAGTTCTTGATAGGAAAAAAAGGAAAATCTTTTCACCCTCTTTTGACCTTAAAATGATCATTTCCTTACATTCTTTCCAAAGAATCTTCAGTACCATCTAGGTGGCATTCATAAATGCTTAAACTTTTCTTATTCCTTCTGTAAGGGAAGTACTTTCCTACTTCCTATATTAATAATCTCCCCACCCCTGAAGTCTTCAACTCCAACTGACAGTTTTAAACTTAGAACATTCTTTCCTATTTGTTTTTAATAATGCTAGGTAATGTATTCAAAATAATCTGAGTATCTGAAGAGGAAATGAGATTATACATTATTCCCTCTAACATAACTTCTCAGTTTATTTTGTCAATTAAAAATAATTATATTTCCGAAGATATGTGCTCCTTGTGTCCTCTAGCCTCTTAAAGTAACAGGGACACTTAATTTTTTTTTTGGTATCTGATTATACTTACAAAGTATATGATTATCTGAAAACAAATGCGACAAAATATAAGACTGTAATAACACGATGAAAAGAGATAGAAAAAACATGACACTTATATTAAATGTACTTTTATGACTAAATTTGTTCTAACATAAAAGTTGTTTATCCCTGCCAATGACATCTTGTGGGGGAAAAAAAATGAGTACTCACCTGGCAAAAACAGGAATTGTTAGTCTCCTCAAACGAGAGCTTACTCTTGATATACACAGCGTTCTACCATATCAAGGGTATCAGAGAATTGCTGTAAAAACCTACCGTCTATGTCATCTGCAGGAAAGGGACATGGTAGGTATTAAGAAAAATTAAGAAGACTTCCCCCCCCCCCCCAATTCTGGGCTCCAAAAAATTGGTAGAAGAATGCAGCGCTCATTCTTTTTCACCAAAAGGCTCATTTGTCCACTTTAAGGTGAGGGGATTTGGAAAAGGACTGGCATGTGGAGAAGGAATATCGGCCAGGAATCTGGACTTTCGTTGCTAGTTCTGCCACTTCCCGATTCAGCTCTGATCGTGCAGAGCTGACCAAGCCGTGGTCCCCAGGCTCCCGACTCCAGGCTGCCCACGCTCACCGGGACAGGCCGGCTCGCTCCCCGCAGGCTGCAGTGGGAGGGCTGGACCTGGAAGGCTCCCTCAAAACAGGCCCAAAAGCAGCTCTAGGAGTAACCGGTTCACCGAACATGGGTCCAGAATGATGTCCAAGCTCTGGAAAAGTGGAACAAAGCCACCGCCGCGAAGCAGCAGGTGTTCCAAGCTGAGGGAAGACGGGGCGGCGAGAGGCAGCCTTGCGCATGCGCGTTCCATCCAGGTGCCGCAGCCTCAGGCAGGGATTCAGAAATGAGTGGTGGAAAAGGGGGCTCGCGGCTGGTTACTAGGAGACGGGACGCTCGGGTAGGGCGACTAGGCGCTGCGTGGGCGTGCGCCTGCGCGGCGCGGATGGGCCAGGAAGAGGTCCCTCCTAGGTGCCCTGTAAGGCAGGCAGGTGGACGTACGCGTCGCTCCGTGCGTAAGTGCGCGCGCACGGCTTGTAGTCCCCGCGAGAGGGAAGGTCGAGCCAGGTACGCGTGCGCACCGAGCCTGGGAGCGAGCGGGACGGAAGCAAAGCTGGGGCGCCGGGGAGGTGGAAGACGAGCCCCACTCCGGTACAGAGCGTGAGGGCGGGGCCACGGCGGCGCCGGCTGGCGCTAACCGCCCCCGCCTCCTTCCCGCGGGCTCCCTCCTTCCTCCGATTCGCCGGGGCGGGGCCGGGACGATTTGGGGGTGGGAAGGGAGGAGAAAGGGGCGGAGGATGGAGACTGGGCGGTTCTCGTATTCCCCGCGGAGGCCGAGACCTGGCAGTCGCGGGGATGAGCTCTGGGCAGGACGGCGGGCCGAGGAGCCCGGGGAGGGACCCGGAGCTCCAGGTAGAAGCTGCGGAGATGCGCAGGGTGGGGAGAGCGCTGCTGCTGGGCCAGAAGGTCTCTGAGAAGGCGGCTGCAAGCGGGCGGGAGTGGCGGGTGCGGGGCCGTGGCAGGCGTAGGTGGGCGCTCGCCGCGGGAGCCGCTGTGAGGGGCTGCGGCGGGCACCGCTGCCGGCCGGAAGCTTAGCTGCACGCGTTGCCCCTGCTTCTTGGGAGGTTAGGTTTGAGCCCAGTTCCTATGGTCACCGCTTCGCGTCCTCCCGCAGCTCTCCGCTTGGTTGTTGGGGGGACTGTTCAGTTTAGAAACGCTCTGGAAGCTCTGGTGGAGCCGAGGAATTTGGAAGTCACAGATTTGGGAGTTCAACCTGACTCCCTATCGCTCATTTCTGAGCCTCTGTCTAGACTTGGGGTGGTGAAAGGCTGAGATTACATAGGCATTTGCATGAAAATCTGATAATTTTAGTAAAATTATACACGGTAAAGGCAGGGAAAGCTGGCTTTTGTTGAAAAACTATTTGAGACTTAAATTGGATAACTAGGTGATCATGGACTTGATACCTAAAAACTCACAGAAATATGTTTTTTTTTTCACTTTTTTTTCCCCCGCGACTTCAGGAAGGTTTGCATAGATTACAGTGTCCCAACGTTTTCCTTCTTCCATTCCAGGACCTTATATCCTAGGAGATTTCCTTGTTTAAAATTCTCTGTACTGGTGTTCAGCATTTCAAGTATACTTTGTTTACGTGTAAGGACATAAATAGAATAACAATAGGTTTGTAAGTAGGAAAAAAACAGGTTAGTTATAGAAGTAGGATGTCACATTCGAATTTGCTTCCAGAATAAGATTCTTGTTTGTATTTTAATTGATTAATGAGCCAAACTCTTCAGTCTTAGTGGGAAATAACTAGGAAGGTACATTAATGAAATATTAATTTTAAATCCTAAACTTTGGCATTATTTTTTTAATGGCAGCTTCCAAAATATTTCACGTATTGTTTACCTTCTGAAGAAAAATCATTGCTTGTAGCTCAGAATATAATCAGGTGTAGAGATTCTCTGGGAGATCTTTTCTGTCTGCTTTTTCAGTTGCTTAGACTAGTTTGTTTAGGACGATTTGGTTTTGAAGTCCTCCACACACACAGGCAGTTAGAAGTATTATTATTTATCTCCTTTTCAGATTACATGTTTCTTTCCGTCCCCACAGATGGCCACTCTCCTGACTTCTAAGAGCCACTTCCTTGATTTTCCTTAATGTTTCACATCATTGTATGTGAACATGCACATTACAGTTCGGCTTGTTTTTGAACTTCGTACAAATGGATTGTACTGAGTATTCATTTACATCTTGCTGCTTTAGTCAACATTTTTTTAAGATTAATCTTTATTGTTGCTCTCAGTATTTAGTTTGGTGATTGTTTCCCCAAATATTTATCCACTTATTATATAAAATCCTCTCTCAAAATTATTCATAAATCTTGTATGGTTTTCCACATCCTTCTGTTAGTGAGGCTGTTCCTTCTTACTTCAGTGTCTGTAAGTTTATGCTTTTGGAGACAATATTTTTAAAAAGAAAAACCCACCTCAACTGTAGTAAACTTTTGTGGAACCAGATTTCAGAATTCCATATGAAGTAGTCCAGTATTTTCCATTCTATCAAAAAATTAAATAATTTGTTGAATACATATTATGTGCTTCATATTTTGCTCAACACTGATGATACTTTTTATTATATAATCTTCTGTTTCACTGAAAAATTAAAATTCAACTAGACAGAAACTTCCTCAGATTTCCATGCCACTTACCTTTTTTTTTGTTTTGAGACATGATCTCACTCTGTCGCCCAGGCTGGAGTGCAATGGTGCGATCATGACTCACTGCAGCCTTGACCTCCCGGACTCAAGTGATTCTCCTATCTCAGCCTCCCAAGTAGCTGGGACCACAGGTGGATGCCACTATGCCTGGATAATTTCTTTTTTCTTTTTTGTAGAGACAGGGACTCACTATGTTGTCCAGGTTGGTCTCAAATTCCTGGGCTCAAGTGATCCTCCGGCCTTGGCCTCCCAAAGTGTGGGGATTATTGGGATTACAAGTGTCTAAATCTTCACCTGTCTTTGCTTTTCTCTTTCTTGTCTCAGGGCAATACGTATTTACCTGGGTTTCCTCTTATTACCTCAGCTGTCTTTCTCCATCTATTAACATTAACTCATGCCTTAGGAATCTTCATTGTTTCTGTACTGTAGGACTTCTTCACCTGGAGTCCAAGGACCTTAGAGAGTCTTAAATCACCTGAAATTGTTTGTAAAGGTGTATTTGCATTTTTCTGAGGAGAGGCTGCAGGGCTTTTAATTCTGAAAGAGGATCCTATGTAAAGAGAATTAAGGAACAAGTTTTTCTCCTCCTGTAGTGACCTTTCCACAACCTTGGTCGTCTTCCACCTTTGTTCTACCTTTCTTCCTCTCACAATCATGCTTCCTAAAAGAAGTTTACATTTTCCATTTTTTTTTCTTTACTATTCATTCATTAGTCCCCTTCAGACTTGTTTTCACCCACCATTGAAACTGCTTTGTTCGAATCATTAAATTTTCTTATTTTGAAAATGTTTTATTGCGTTTCACCTTTGTGCTGGGCACTTTTAAGGCATTAGGGATATAACAGAGACAAGACAAAAACCTAGGGCTCTAGAATGTTATATTCTAGTAGGGGGAGGTAGTAAACAAGTGAGCAAATAAATGATATAATTTCAAGTAGTGATAAGTGCAAATAGCTTATCGCTTATTTGAGAGAGTGACTGGGAGAGAGGCTGCTTTAGGTAAGTAGTCAGGGAGGCCCTCTGACATTTCAGCCAAGGAGCTGAGGGTGAGAAGATAGCCATGTGAAAGGCTGGGTAGAAAGTGTTCCTGAGAGGAAAAGCAAGAGCAGAGGACTTGAAGTCAAATGATATTGGCACGTATCTTAGTCCATTCAGTTTGCTCTAATGAAATAACATAAGCAGCAGAAATTTAATTCTTACAATTCTGGAGACTGGGAATTCTAAGATCAAGTTGCTAGCAGAATCAATGTGTGGCGTTTTTTGGTTTATAGATGGTACCTTCAGACTGTGTCCTCATATGTCAGAAGGGGCGAGGGAGCTCTCTGGGATCTATTATATACTGGCAACTCATCATGGCCTAATCATCCCCTAAAGGCTGTGCCTTTTTTTTTTTTTTGACGTGGAGTCTCACTCTGTCCCCCAGGCTGGAGTGCAGTGACATGATCTCGGCTCACTGCAATAAATCCCTTCTAAGTTATTAGCAAATGTTGTTGGTTCTACCTTAAAATATATATTCTAAATCCATCCACTTCTCTATATTTTTGTTACCACCTCCCTGGTCCAAGTCACCATCATCTCCCACCTAGAATACTGCAACCGTTCCCTGCTGTCTTTCTGCTTCTATTGTTGCACCCTACAACCTATTCTCCACACGGAAATCAAATCAATCACTTCAAAATAATGAGATCCTGTGGGAGGGGAGAAGGGAGAGGGAAAAAAACGAAAAAGAAAATTATAATAAGATGATCCTGGCTCAAAAATACACCAATGGCTTCCCACTGCAAGTAAGAATAAAATCCAGGCTGGGTGCTGTGGCTCATGCCTGTAATCTCAGCAGTTTGGGAGGCTGAGGCAGGCAGATCACAAGGTCGATAGATCGAGACCATCCTGGCCAACATAGTGAAACCCCGGCTCTACTAAAAATACAAAAATTAGCTGGACGTGGTGGTGTATGCCTGTAATCCTAACTACTCGGGAGGCTGAGGCAGGAGAATCATTTGAACCAGGGAGTCAGAGGTTGCAGTGAGCCGGGATCACGCCACTGCACTCCAGCCTGGCGACAGAGACTCTGTCTCCAAAAAAAAAAAAAACAAAAAAACATGGCCCTTGTCTTCACTTAAAAGATCTAGTACATCTAGTACTCCTTCTTTGTTCACCCAATAGCTTTTTCTTTCTGTTTCTCTAATGTGCGGCTTCAGTCTGAATGTCTGTGTCCTCGCAAAATTTTTAAGTTGAAATTCTAACCCCTAAGATGATCAGGGGTTAGATAAAGAGGCACAGTCTTGGTCGGGTGCAGTGGCTCACGCCTGTAATCCCAACAGTTTGGGAGGCCGAGGTGGGTGGATCATGAGGTCAGGAGTTCGACACCAGCCTGGCCAAGATGATGAAACCCTGTTTCTACTAAAAATACAAAAGTTAGCTGGGCATGGTGGCAGGCGCCTGTAATCCCAGCTACTTGGGAGGCTGAGGCAGGGAATTGCTTGAACCTGGGAGGTGGAGGTTGCAGTGAGCTGAGATCATGCCACTGCACTCCAGCCTGGGTGACAGAGCATGACTGTCCCCAAAAAAAAAAAAAAAAAAGAAAGTCTTTTTTAGA